TCAGGTCCTCCACACAATGACATATACCTTTTGATATAAATAGCTTTGTCCTATCCCTTTATCAGAGCCCAAGAACATCTCTTCTATGATGAGCATGAGTTCTCCAGGACAGAAAGATGAATCTATATGGCAGTATATCATACAGAAGCTAATCCATCAGGTTTCATTCTTCTCAAAACTGGCCCTTTGATGCTGTTAATTTTTCCCCTTCTTTCCCTTGTCCTCCTCTTTTCCTTCCCAATTCCAATACTTTTGTTTCTATTTCCTTGATTCATGCTTTCTGTTGTATCTTCTCCTTTTTATTTTGCCTGCTCCTCTCCCTTTCCCAATTCACTCCTTTCCCTTCTTTTCATTGCCTGAGTCCAAGTCTTCAGCTTGCAAGGTCTTGGCGCACAGAGTTTCTCCTGAAGTCTGGAGCTTTTCAGAGAGACAGCTCTGCAAGATTTAGCCTTGTCTCTTCACACTGCTCTATCCAGTCTGTTCCGCTTTCTCTCTTTTCTACCCATGTTTTCCAAATATGTTATCTTAGGACCAGCTCTAAACCTGATCATAGGTAAGTATGTTACCAAACATTGCTTTGTAATGAGCCACCTGAGGAAGAATTGGACACTAACCCTTGCAGATCAACCTGAGAGCTCACAAAGTGCTTTATATCTCAAGGCACCCTGACCCCACAAACTACCAACTATTATGTTTTATTCTGATTAGGTAACATTGTATGATTTAATTCCCTTTTCTCTCTAATTGTAGCTTGATTTCATGCTGCATTCAGGTGCTGCCTTGATAGCACTGTTACCTCATAGGAACACTGTACATGCTCAGTGGCATTTATTTTGTTTGAGACTTGTTATTCTCTTTAATATAGCTTAAGGCAGCAATTCTAACATGTTGGATCGTGAACCTGTGGTTGTCAGTAAGACAGTCAGGAGAAGCTGTAACAACCTTTTCAATGCCTTACAAACAGAAGCAAAGAAAATCTTACTCTCCCTGCCCCCCTTCCCTCCCCCCCCACTTAACCTTCATGATGAAACATTCCTCTCTCAGTCTCTTACAGACACACGCACACAAAAATTATACAGGCTTATTATTGTGATCTCCAGCACTCTTGTAAAGCAAATATAAAGGGATTGTGAAACTTCTCTTCATATGAGGCGTCACTAACCTGAAAACTTTAGGAAGCAGTGGTTTAGAGCTTCTCTAAGGTCCCAAATGATGAAGAAAAGGATTGAAATTCTGATATTAAATAGGGCCCTTTCATCTTGCCAAAGAAGAAGCCTTTGAAATCCTATGTGATGTATCAAAGATTCCCACCCCCACTCAGCTCAGAATTTGCCTTACTGGCTTTGACTTCATCATGGATCTCTGCCTACATCCTTCTGTTGGGATCTTTTACGGATTATTAACATCTCTGTAATACTACATGTTTTAAAACAGCTATGGTGACTAATGATTTTCTGGTGAGGAGATTGTAGTTATCCTATATCACTCTGAACAACTGTAATTCCTGTGTTCTGCTATATGTGAAGCTTGTGAGGACACCCAGAACTCACGTTTTGTGATCTCTACTGTACTCCTGCTAATGAATTAGTTAATCATCCAGAAATGTAAACAGAAGACAACGGAAGCTGCTCTCACCAGGGCCATGAAAGGAATGACACAGGTCAGCTAGAGGGAACATCTTGGAGGGATCTAATCCAGTACCTCCCAACAGCTCCACAAAATCTCCCACTCCTGCGCAGCTTGCTGATGGTTTCTATATAGACAGAAATGGAAAACTGATTTGCTAAGAACCTTCAGAATATCACCATCACCTACAGTATTGCAGCCAGGAGGACCTGCAGGTGATTTGAAGTTAACAAGTCTAATTTCCTTAAGAGAGTATGAAGAAAGCTGTAGATGTATTTTGCAGCTACTGGTAATTATGTGCAATTAAGGACTTGGATCATGTTGGTTCTAGCCAGATGAATACAGTATATGCAAACCATCCTCTCCTAAACAAATGGGATGCTACAGCTGTGCTGATGTATGCTGTCTGAGCAAAGTTTAGTCAATGGAGAAATGAAGTGGAAATGAGGAGCATTTTTGCTGAGGAACAAGGGACTGTCTTCCCATCTTCTCTTAGAAAACCAGTGCTTTCCTTTTCTGTACTTATGCTAATTGCCAGCAATTACTTTGCACTAACTCCCATGATGCTGCTCCAACTTCTGGCCAGGGCTGTGCTCAGCTAGTTTCCCCTACTGAATCTCCTACAGTCCCCCTTTTGTGGCATTCATTAGGCTCATTTGCTACTTCTACCAAATGCTAAACAGACAGTAGTTTAGTTTTTTAGCCACTTTTGTACCCACAGTTATATCACTGTTGGCACAGGGATTTTAGTGAAAGTGGGGAAAAGACATGGAACTATATGGGACTGGATCTACAATCATTTCCCACTAGTTTATAATGACTGAGCAAGGACAGTTTTTTCATGCTTAGGAGACCTAATTGTTTTCTGTTTATCCTGTAAGCAATTTTAAGACCAGATTAAACGGGACATTTCCTTTCGGTGAGAGACAGCTATGTAAGTCCTTGCCAGGATGGCAATAAGGCAAGGTTGCACATGGTTATTGGTTTGAGGTGGGGTCCTCCAAGATGTAAAGTCATGGATAATCTAATGAGTCAAACAAGCTCCTATATCCAAAACAGCCATTCACATGAGCTGGCATTCACCAAATACTGCTCCTTCTCCAATCTTTCTGTTGCCAAATTTCCCCTTTTGGAAATCCCTCTTTCCATCTCACTCACCGCTCCTTGGCTTCCTGTCTCTTTTCATTCAGCCATTCCATAACTTCCAGTCTATCAGCACTGATTATTTTTTGTCTTCCTGCAGTCTTCTCCTCTGTGCCTGTTCTTCTCTTTCTTCTGTTGACATAGTACTTGGGTTTGTCTGTGCTCACTCTCCTCCTCCCTTGACTTACTCCTCTCTCTCACTGCAAGGCACATTCTGGATCATCCCCAAAGTCCTGGCTCATCCTCATTATCCTTTTCCTTTGCTCCTGTTCTCACACTGCAGAATGCCTCTGGTTGAAGCCCTATGGGCAGGTTGAGTTCCTCCATTACAAAATCATCATCTCCTCTCCTTCAGTTCTGCTGTCTTCCTAGCTAAGCAACTCGACTTCTCCCATTAAACTGAAACCCACACTCACAATCCCAGCTACCCATTCTCCAGTCTTAACTCACCCCTAAAACTTTCCTGTTGCTAAAGATCTCTGCACAGTATCCTACTCATTTCTTCCAAGAGAAAATGTATAAGTATATACTAAGACCTTCCCCTGCCCCTCAGCTTGTTGTCCCATGTCCCTTCTCACATATTATTTCCCCTCTTCTGCAGGAGCTTTCTGCTCACTTCCTCTCACCTTTCCACTTGTCCCATACCAACCCATTTCACCTCTTGGTCTCCCCTGGTGCTCACTCTCCTCCCCTTGTGTACTTTTCTAAAATTCTTCTCCACCCCAAGTTCTTTTTATCACAACACAAACAGACACATGATAGTTGTACACAGGAGCCAAGATGGATCTCCTGCTGGGACAAGGGATTCAGTCCCTTACCCCAGTCTCCAAGGGCATGGATTTTTTTTGCCCTGGTCCATGATCCTCCTGTTCATGGTGCCCTTGCACCTGTTAAGCTCCAGGTTGCATATCATTCTTTAAGTTACTCCATGGCTGAGCTACAGAGAGGACTGCTTCCTTCTTATGCATTTGGGTACAGATTATTTGTGTTCCCACCCTGCTCCCAAAGCTGTATAAGTATCCATCCATCCTTAACAAGATTAGATTGGAGACAGTGAGGGTGATGAGTGATTTCATAATTGAACAAGGGTAGTGGGGGATTCTCGGTCACTGGCAATTTTGGCTCTAATTCAAACAAAGATTCACTCAGGGAGGCAGAAGAGCATGTCTTCTACAGAAGTCCAGACCAGATGATTGCAATAATCATTTTGGAGTCCTGGTCTCTCCGTCTGTTCTCCTCAATGGCTTACAGCTACTCTATAGTTGTCCCTGCAAACCCACAGCAAGAACTTCCATGAGTCCTGTGCAGGATGAGGGGAACCAAAGCCTGCATAAGGTTTTTCATTATTGGTAGGTATTTATAGGAAGTCTTTATACCCCAAGAGTAGCTATGACAGTTCAGTCACAGAGTGGGTGGGGTATCCAACATACCAGGATTGGTGAGGCCAGTGGGGAACTATCACATGTTGCAGTAAGTGACCTTTTTTTTTCCTCTGTGCCAGTCCTGAATATATCATTTTGCAACAGAAGTGGTCTGGATGAGGGAGGACTCTGTCCCTGGAGTTTGTGCAGTAGCATCATGACCACTAACCCACTCTCAAGGCAATCCTTCCACTTGAGAAAAAGAACAGCAATATGTACCATAACAATAGATGCACTACAGTTTTCTTGAACTTTGTTTATAGTCAGTGCCGAATGGCATAGGGATATTGGAGGATAGAGACTTTCAGAATCACCAGAGGGTAAAGTAAATACCTGCTGTGGGCAAAATGGGTTATTATGCTCTTCAGAAGGGTCCAGTTAACAGGGTTCCCCATGGCCCAGCTCCCAGTGCTCCCTTCTTATCTTTCCATAGAGTCCCAACCCAAGTGCCCATCCTGAAAATTAAGTTCCTCCCTAATTCCATCGAATAAGGGGGAGTGGAGGGTGAGACGGGATCCATTATAAATAAATTCTTATTTACAAAATAAATAAAGACCTAGAAATTACCTTACAGAAGCATTACCTTTTATCTATTTAGCACTAGTACTACTTACATTGCATCAAATGCAACTTGCGGCTCTTTGTGGCTGGACTCCTTGTTTCTTATGATATCACTAGCTTTTATTGTGACTAGTAATATTCACATTAGTCAATAAGAATACTAATAATATTGCTTTTACTGTCCATACTAACAATATTAATAATCGTAAATACAGAAATAATACTTTGTGTAATTTGATTATCCATCCTACACTACTGCTAAATGTAGTACCTGACTGCATAACAAACAACTCACCTTCAAGTAGAGGCCATTTAAATGTCCCAGTATAAGGTCAGATATTTTTATCACCACTGGATAAATTATAGAAAAGCTGCAGTTTCTGTGCTGATGAGGAATTACCATAGTGAACCTTCCAGTTGGAGTCTGAGAGATGACATTGCAGGCTTTAGCAGAGGGAGAAGACACAACAAAATTATTTCTACAGTAGTCATGATCTGCCTATAGCAAAGGTATGTGCATCTGACTGTGTTCTGGACCATTTGATGTAGTTGCACCCCATGACTTAACTGTATATGGCCAGATTCTATAATGTTATGCGGGTTTGCATCTGGTGCAACTATAGCTGACTGTCCCAACATGTTTCTTACTCCATCCCAAAAATAGACTTATTTTTGCACTGCACTGTACAATTTACTCTTCTTTTTCCTAAAAATAATATATGCTAACAATGAACAGTTCATTTTATTATGATTTCATATCATCAGCATGACAAAGGATGTTTTATACAACGACATTTTCCTTGGCTAGTGGCTTTCGTCCTCTAGAAATGCCTAGCATCACACATCATAGAACTTAAAATCTTTCCTGAGTACCTTAGACTTCAGTCCTTCAGTTGACTCTGCCTGGCTCGACTTTTGCAGCATCATGGAGTTCCACCAATCTCATTGCAAGATCTAGAAAAGGGGCTTCAGCACCTCCAAGTTATATGCCTCAGCATCATGTTAGATGCCAGGGGTCCTACCCAGCACACGGAGAGAGTGAATTGCCTCAGAAGGCAATCTAAAAACCCTCCATGCTGAGCAGGGAGCTGCCCACAGCTAGTTAACAGAAAATACTAATACACTAATAATGTGTCTGAGCAACGTTCTTGAGCTTAAGCATCTTAATCAGGGAGGCATGAGGGGGAGACCCACTCAAGAAACAGAGGCCAGGGTCTACTCCTAAAGGTAGACACCTACAAGAATTTTCTGGAAAAACACAGCAGAGCTCATTTTTAAGGTGCAGCCAGAGGAAATGGAGGTGATGATGGTGATGCCCACCTTTTATACAATATATAATGGGTAGAGCGCTTACCCAGGAAGTGGGAGACCAGGGTTAAAGTTGCTCCTTTGCCTAAAGGATTTCAAACCTACATCACCTACTTCCTTGGAAAACACCTTAGTCACTGTATATTTTGCACACAAATATTATAGAATGAAAATAATTTTTTAAATAACAATTCCTTGGATCTTAAATATAGAAAGCATCCTTAACATCTCATATATACTTCAAGAATGTTCTCTCTTAACTTGAGGCACAAGCTTAGCCCACATCAATAAATGTTGATATTCCTCAGCACATTATGAGGTATAGAACCATCATTATCAGCTGCATGATGTCAATTTAAAAGATTTCTGAGAAGGAATGAAAAGGAAAGTAACACGTTTGTTCAGATTTCTAACCCAAATGTAATCCGTTTGACAATACAAAAAATCAGACTTACGGAAGAGATTGGTAGTTTTCTTTATTGTGACTGTAAATCCATTCCCAGGTTCATGAATCCTGAAGAAGATCATTGCCACATTCTGGGATGATCTGATGCTCCTCTGAAAGTTGTTGCTTTCACAAAAATCAATGTATCTTTGTGAAGTGGGAAGAGGGTGGTCCAAGGAGCTAGGAAATTTCTCACCTTTGAGTATCCAGCCATCAAATACCTACAAGTATTCAGCAATTGAAACATTAGCTCTTTTTAGTTACCATTTTGCCACCAGAAAGCTAAAGGAGTACAGATCTGGATCAGTGGCTCCATTTGCAGTTTCCTCTCTAGAGAATCAAGAACACAAAACTTATTTACTTTCAATATACTCCTTGCTCTACAGATACTTTTGAAAAATCCTACCCTTAATTCCTTTGACATGAAATATCAAAGTGATCAATCTGACAATCATCTACTGCAAGCAGAATTCAACCAGCACAAGTATTTAAACACTAAAGGAATAAAAAAAAAAACAGATTTGGTTTTTTGGAAGATTTTGGGGGGGGGGTTGTTTTGTTGTTTGTTTTTGTATTTGTTTTTTTTTTGTTTGTTTGGGGGGTTGGTTTTTTGTTTGTGGTGGTTTTTTTTGTTTTGTTTTTTTTGTTTTGTTTTTTTTGTTTTTGTTTTTTTTTTTACACGTTTACAGATGGTCTTAAGTTTTTTGTTCTCCTCTGTTTTAACAAGGTCACTTTGGACTTGATATCTCTCAGAAAGCTTTGTGTCCCTGGAAACAACACTAAATTGTTTGGGGAAATGGTTTTGTTGCAGAGACATAATATTGGATTTTGCATCATGAAGGCTGATAAAAAAATGTAACCTCACAGTCAACATCCACTCATTGACACTATCTACACCCTAGTTCAACCTACACCACTGCTGGACCAGTGGCTGATCCAGCTCACCAGCCACTGAACATCCTGTCTTCCTGGTTCCAGATCCCTGCTGCTATGTCTAGATCATCCTCACCAACGACAATGCACTCTTAGATCCCACCCTAAACCCAAATGGCCTCCAAATATTTGCAAGGGTTTGATGGCAAGAGGTTTCACTGTAAAAAACTTGAAAAGTTTAAGTAAATGCCTGCATATGAGGTGGCTAAGTATATGAAATGAAAGGAAGCTTGTAGGACCCCCTGGTATTTTGGGTATTATGAACTTTAGGAAATAAAATATGTTAACTGAGGTTTGGGGGATTGTAATGTTGCTTTATCTCATGATTTCTTTGATTTCCAGTGGGTTGTGTTGAGAAGAAAAGCATTTGGTACACCTTTAACATCAATTCAGCACTAGGTATTGGTATATGGCAGTGACTGCACTGTAAGGCTACAGTACACTACAGTCACTACACACTGTGGATAGATTTTGGTCCCATCTCTGTATCTTATTTCATGCTGAACATGCCATATGCACCTAAATATTAATGTTTGTACTTTATCTTAGAGATAAGTGCTGTAATTACAGCTTGCACCATTCTGATAATCCAACTATAGTAAAGCACCTTAAACAGTAAGGGATTTGCTAACTTTTATTTGACACCTGCTAAGTAGTCTGTAATAGGGGTGTGTGAAGCGGGGCCTATTTGATTCAGATTTGGATTTGGCCCAAATCAGGGAAAGTGATTCGATTCATTTATTCGGATCACTGTCCCCGATTTGATTCCCCAGACCCAGGAGGCATCAGTCGCTGAGTCGGGAGGGAATTGGAGGGAGGGGGGTGGGCCTCCCTGCGCACTCCCCAGCAGACCTGGAAGTGCTTCTGGGTTTGCTGCCAAGCATGCTGGGGAGCCCCCCACGCTTCTGTGGGACACTCCATCTGCCCCAGCATCGCAGCGCTCATGAGCCGCCTGCTACCTAGAGGTATGTACAAAAAACATTTAAAGCTGTGTCTATGTCCGAATTGCCAAATCTTTCTGAATCTCTCTTAATCAGTTTGGAGGGTTCCAATTCAATTCAGAGAGATTAAAGGGACGTCTGATTCAATTCAGATTTGGAGATTCAGCCACTGAATCAGGCCGAATCTCCGCTAAATCGAATCAGGGACTAAAGCTTTGCACAGACCTAATATATAACCATCAATTTAATAAAAAAAATTCTGTATCCTTAACTTCCCTGGGGTTAAAATTGCTACTGAGATTTTTGTCAATGCACAGAAAATGATTTATTTCATCAGGAAGTTTTACCAATGGATTTAATTGGATAATGGACATTTCTGAACACTGGCACTAGCATTTCAACTTGAAAAATCAGCCCAATAAGTCTTAAAGGAAGTATTAGTGCAATATTATTGCTTGTGTTAGGTCAGCCCTCTCTTCCTCTGTACCTGTCCTTTTCAGCTCACTCTGAGACTTAGGCTGATGGTAAAGAAACAAAGCAGACACTGCTTACCCTTATCTGAACAGCACACTCTGCAAATCTCTCATTACAATAAAAAAGCATTAGATTAGCCCTTGTAATATTCACGAAAATTTGTCAGTCAGAAATCTGCATTAGATTTAACTTAACTGAGCAACTACTCTCTAACACTGATGCACTTGCCTCCTAATTGCTTCTCAGTAATACCCTAATGTGCTTCAATCGCTTTCTGTAGTGCTCTTACAAACAAAGGGCCAGTTCTCATCTGAGTGAGGATTTCTTACATAAAGACTGCAGGATCAGTCCCCAGGTCTTTTAGAGCTGCAACCCTCTATAGAATGACTTGATGTGGCTGTTCACAATACACTAGAGAAAAGCTATAGGTAAGAAACACTGCACCATAATTAAGAAACTGAGCAACAATGTACCACCATGAGGGAGGGAAACTCCACAAGGTTGACCCTTCATGAAGGTTTTTGTGACTTTTTCTGGCCCAACAGAAAAGACCATAAATTCTGGTCTCCTGTGTATGCACAGGAGACTATAATTGCTACCCATGGCATTGTTTTTCCCCAACCTAGCAATGTGGTGTCTGTGGAGGCTGGAGAGGAACTCCAGCATGAGGCTATATTATTTTTCCATGGGGAAGTCAAAAGCCTGAGGGGTGGCTCTGTTCATTTTACATCCCCTTATCTTATTGCCCTTCCTCATCAACAGATCCCCACTTGGGATCTATATGCATACAACCATATCCATATGAAGATCAGGTTACAAGATGAAGGGATTAAATATGCACATTAAAGCTTTTACTAGTCTCATTAACAAAACTGAGATCTTGGTCAAAATTTCTCCCTGCAATCAAAGATTTCCAGTGAAGTGTTCTTGGTCCTGCAATATAATTGACCCTGAATTGTGAAATTTGTCCAAAGAGAGTGTCCTGAACAGTTGTTGGGACCATTTAAAAGAAATAATTAATCGAGCCACTCTCATTAATAAGCTAATTCTAAATGGCCGTTAAGTGCATATTCTGCAGCAATAACAGTGCTCATGAGAGCCACAATACAGAGTTCATATGATTCATGATGCGATGCAATGCAATAGGAATTAAGCTAGAAGGATTGCTGTATGCTGATCCAACTTTTCTTTTAAATACACTATATAAACTATAGGAACTGAGTAAAGACGTGCTTTTCCTGCTTAGGGAGAAAAAAAAAACCTCTGGCAAAGGTTGGAATCTCTCTTACAGCAGTTGAATGAGTTCTCAGTCTGCACCATAACCCCCTCTTCCGTGAGGAGAATATTCAAAAGTGCCTATGGGCTTTATGAACACCAGTCCCAATGAACATTGCTTCTGAAACGCCTACCCCAGCCCCCATATACAATATATTATCACTTTCATTCCCCCTCTTCCAGTTGACACAACTGCAATGCTTTATACTTTGCTGTTTTAAGTAGGAAAAGGGTATCAAGAGTTGTCAGCATCTTACCTTAAGGAAATCTCCTCCTTGGCAGTCAATGTTTACAAAGTCATAGTCTATTGTGATGAGCTCCTCTGGGTCTCCAATAAAGAAAGTGGCACAGTGTAGCTGGGGCTGCTCTGCGGTGAAGGTGAACTGCCCCTCTATACTTAGCATGTCAATACATCCTGAAGAGAGAGAGCATGAGCCACCAGCTGCATTTCAGCACCTCTCACAGAACAGAGAGCAGCAGACAGTTCCCACTAACTGTGCAAGCTAGCAACAGAGACAGACGTCACCTTTTTGGAGATTGAGATGAAAGGGTTATAAGGCTGCTGTGCTGAGTACTGAGGAGATAATAGTGACTAAGAGTGTATGTGTATGTAAGAGGAAAGAGACTGATGTGCTAAAATATCTTTGAGCGGAAAATCATGTGTGGTCAGTTCACATAGCAGATCTGTTTTATCTCATCTCCATGTGACCCACTATGAAAACTCTGTCCTCTTCCATGAAAGCTACTCTTCCTATTAGCATTTAGGATTTGGACCTCAGAGCTGGGGCTCCAGGCTGACATCTCCATGCCCTATTCTCTGCAGCCAGGACCCTGCAGCTGACCTCAAAGCCCAGGAGTCCTAAGATCCTTCAGCCTAGAATCCAAGTTTACAAGGTCTCAGTCCTGATCCTTATCCCCCTGCATGTACATGTGCACATGCACCCACCCACACACACAAACACATGCACAAGTACTTTCAGCCCTCACCTCCCAAATGACCCCCATTTCAGAGCTTGCACCCATTTCAAAAGCTCCTTAGCAGAGAAACAAAGAAACTCACTAAGCGACCGACGGTAGATCTGCCCTTCAGACAATTCTCGCTTCAGGTCTGCACTGAAGAGCAAAAAGGGATCATCCTCGCCAGTGTCCCTCACCTGGGGGAAGGAAAAACAAGAAGCTGGGACTGAGTGAAATGGTTTGATTACAGAAGCCACTCTATGTTTCTCAGAAATAAGTATCAGTGAATGGCACCCTCCTCCAGGAATGGTCCTATGCAGACAAAGCTCAGTTTGAAACTGTCCAGGAGCTGTCAATACCAAATGCAATCTGGTCTCTGAAGGCAGAGAGATCAACCCAGGCATACAGAGAATGGTGGTTTTCCTAACAAAAATGCAAGCAAGCTGAGAAAAGGAGAATGAACATGGAAAATGGGAGGGAGGGAGAGAAGAGATGAGGCTTTTAATGCTGCTCTACGGTCAGCTCTAATGAAAGGTGGGGGGTGGAGGGGAGGGAGAGAAGAGGAAAGACACCGGATCCACTAAACCTAGAATGGCAAGCTGGAGCAAGTATGATGGGCTGTGATAGTTGTCAATTGCAATGCTCACCTCTAGGTATCTGGTTTCCCCCTTCAGGGCTGCCAAGAAGATTAGGAAGAAGTGGCACTGGAATCTGAGTGCAGAAGACATGCTGACACTCCCTCTCTGGTACTTCCCTCTCTCACAGTGCCTAAGTTTTTTCCTGTCTGTGCAGAAAGGCAGGAGCCAGTGGGATCTCTTTGACAATCCCTTTTTATAGAACTGTTGGAAGGGGAGGCACTTGGTCCCCGTACTGATAGGGTAACCCATGGTAACTGAATTCCTGCCTCAATGACAAAGTACGTTGGTATGACGAGGGTCCGAATCACAGCCACAGATTTCCAAGCTGGTCTAGCTCCTCACTGGCAGATGTCTTTTCCACTTATCTGTCTGACTTATTTAAGAAAGCTGCAGAGGGAAGTATGAGAATCCCTCTGAACCTGGAAAACTGGGATGGCACACCTTGATTTGTCCCCACATATTCAAAGGCAAAGTAGAAAGCAAAGGGCTCCCCCACTCCTCCCCTGCCATACATGGAATCTCAATGCGTGGCTGTGACATTTCAAAGTTACCCAAGAAAGGCAGCAGCAGCACCTCGGTTCTCTGTACTGAGACAGAGCTGGACTCTTTCTCAAATCACAGATCAAACTGTTCAGACAAAGCCTTATCTGGACCCTCTGACAGCAGACATTCTCCAATACTACTGGAAAACTGCCATTGCAAAGTCTAGCAAACTGCTATGAAGCACAATATAAGCATTAACTAATCAATCTTCACAACAGCCTTGTGAAGAAGGTAGGCAAAGGTGGCTTCCTCTTTGGACAAAGAGGAACTGCACAACAGGTGCAGTCTGGAGTGGAAGCTCTCCTTCCAGCCGCAGGGAGAGGAAGGCCCTGCTGGATACCTCTGCCTTTCCACCCTGTCTTGACTGGGGGCAAAATATTCAGTGTAACAACTGCCGTCAGTCACAGGGGTGCCACTCAGTGGAGATAAAATCAAGGGCTTCCGTGAGGCAAAGGAAACACCAGGAAGCAACAGGATTCTCCCACAGCAGCAGAGAAGCCTGGAGCACATCCCTCACCAGGTGAGAATTAACTATCATGTAGTTCTTAGTTTATTGATTACTTTCATGTAACCTCTTTTACCTCCTGTTTTTTCATCTAGTCACTTGTGTTTTGCAAAATATCTTCAGAATTTATAAACACAGAAATGTCTGCCTACTCCTTCATAGCTTCTTCTTAAGGACTTACCACTTCTTCAAATGTCTAGTCTACATGCCACTTCAAAATGCTGGGACCAGGCTATGTTTCAAAATTATTGAAATAACTCTTTGACCTAAGAAATCAGTTTGTTGGTTGATTCAGTGATTTAAAAAAAAATTAAAATCAATCATTCTCAATGAATCTGCCATGAAATACTGGAGACTCTGGGGATTTGGGTTAGGGTTTTCAAAGGCACTTGGGATTAACTGCCCAAATCCCATCGAAGTTTTATGGGAATGCCTTGGACTCCTTCAACACAATGTTCCCAGTGACTCTTGCTCCTTCTCTCCCTGTTTCATAACAAGGAGGGACTACAGTAGAATATCTTCCACTCACATTTCTGGTCTCCATTGTACTCCTTTTGGAGAAGCTAGTGCCATTCAGCTTCTGTTACCATATAGTCAGTCTTTAAATAGAATAAAAATAACTGTAAAAAACCTGTAAGCCAAAGATCATGGCATTACATTATCTAAGACAGTATTTCTCAACCTTTTCAGACTCAAGGCACCCCTCAGAAAATTCTAGCTCTTAGTCTTCATTCATTTTTTTTATTATAGAAAAATAATGGAGGAATTTTTCTGTTGCAAAGAACTGAGAAAGACCACAACAGCTCAGAATATTTTTAGCATTGTGAATTCCTATTTGAAATCTCTGGATTTATCTTATAAATCATATTTATGTGCCTAACATTGCTAACACTGCATGGCAACTTGAGGCACCCTTGAAAGGATCTCAGGGCACCCCAAGTGCCACATCATCTTGGCTAAGCATCACTAATCTAAACTGATAGGCCTAGAAACAGTTACAACTATAGCTGAAATGCCACCACGTAAGACTAGGGATGCAGTTCTTTTCCACCCCAGCCCAGAATCCAGGCTTTCATGCCTGTGCTACATTTTTCAGGAATCACAGCATCTAGTCCCTGGTTTCAACTGATGTAAAGCTAGTTACCTAAAAGGACTAAAGCCCATAATCCATAGTTCAGGCCTTGACATGCACTGAATCCCAGGGGAGAATGAATGTTTGGTACAAGAGTTATTGCAAAGTGTTGATTATTTCAATCTTATAACAGACGACAAGCCACTCACGTCATGAAATCAACTGTAGTGACATAAACCAGATGCAGTTACACTTCAGAGATCACTGTGTTATTTGATATGTAAACCTATTGCAGAATGTTCAACAGATAACTCTCTTAAAAGATTACTAATACTGGGCACATCTACATGAGACACTTACTGCACATTAGCCTAATAACACAGTGCAATAGCATGTCATAGCAATAACCATGCTAATAACCTATTGTGCAGTGTTATTAGGTGAATGTGTAGTAAGCATCACTAAATAAATGTGGGCCGGCGCTACTGTGCAGTAACTCTAAGTACTGAACATCTAGTTACTATTTTATTAAGGAAGTACTAAACTAAATGCGCAGTATCTATGGCACATTAATGAACATGTAGGCGCACCCACTGAAGAGATCCTTGATCTCTCAAGTTTTGTAGAAACTCAGGATCATACTGAATAACTATTGGATGCCCCTGTGAATTGAACCGTTTCCCTGTATGAGACATTTTTGAGCTGGCCACAAACAGTTTCACTTGTAGTGGCTCATCACTTCAAGGCTTGGTTGGAAACTGGAATGAGGATGGAACTTTTCTGGAACCTGAAATGAAATTTAACTTCAAATTCAGTCAGCATCATTATCTTAAAACCAGGCGCTTAATATGAATACAGTACCTAAAAGCAGTTATGAAGAGATTCATCTGGAGGAAAATACACCATGACAATATTTTCAAAACACTTTAAACCTCCGTCTGAAACATATAAATCACACACATCTACTAAATGACATTATTGTTTTAAAACAGTGCTTTCAATGGCTGCTGTATCAGAAGGCCTGCTACAGCATCCGTTTACTGAGAAATAAATCGGGAGATTTCCGGTACTGTAAAGCCAGTTTTCCTTGTGTAAAGCAAGAATCATTTGTCCATGCCCCTGTGAAAACTGAAATTACCTGTCAGTCTCCATAAAAAGCTGCTTCATGCTTCAGAATGCTATAATATTTCATAATTACTTTGCTCAAATATACTTACATTAATGAATGACATATAATCACATGAAGCTTGATTATATGGCAAACAAGTTTGAGGAATCAGAATTTTCTCGGGGAAATGTTTCTGTTGGACTCTATTGCATGAAGTGTTTTTGCTGAATTAGGTTTGTTATAAGTCCATAAAGCAGGGTGACCAGTCAGCAGCCTGTTGTGGCACTTGAAGCTTTAACTTATGACACGTGGGGTAAGGAGGAAATTAATGTTCGATTCTGAATGTGTACCTCCTGGGCTGTGCCCTGCAATGTCTATGCTGAATTGATAGAATCAGTGGGGGAGGTAGGGAGTTCCCTTTCCACATCCCCATCCCCTGAGTTTCCCACCACCCCCCTCTACTGCCCCAGAAGCAGCCTTGACATACCTGAATGAAGCATGCTCTGAACAGCTGGTCCTTTCTCTGCTATGTTGCAGGGGATACAGGACTCCTAGATAATGTTGAAGAGAAGCTCAATCAGTGTTATTTGTTCAACCCACTAGTGAAGGACCTCCCAAAATGGAGGAAGAGTCTGCTGAAAGGATCTCAGTGTGTTGAAATCTTGCAATGACAATGGGAGATGGAAAAACAGGAGCAGCAGAAACAGCATGTCATGGACTGAACCAAGAAACCCAGAGCCATCCACTCCACACGGAAACATGTGCCTGAGCTACAACCCAGTCTGTCAATCCTGGATTGGCCTCATCTGTCTTATTTGTAGGTCTGAAGATGGCTGTTATGGAATACAATCATCCTTGGCTGCTAGGGATTGCTGCTGATGATAAAGGATGCTTTTCCTCCCTCCCTCAACCATACACTGTGACTTAGCAGAGGCGGAGGGAGGATGAGAAGCTAGGAACTATAAAACTATTATAGCTCCTCAATTCTTAGCCATAGCCCCAAAAATCAGTGGAAGCAGCGGGGGACTGCTCTAGCTTACACTAGCCAGCTATGATGCTCAAAAGACCATGCACCAGCTAGGGATGGTGGGAGCAAAGCATTATCCTTCTCCAGCCTTCACGTGTTCTGTGTGCCAAGGGCTGTGGGAGAGAGGTGTAGGAGCCTGCTTTACATCTGTAGGTGACTCATCCACTTCAGGAGACTCCCTCTCATGGGATGGTAAGTGGTTTCTGTGCCCTCTGAACCACCCCACTTAGTTTTTTTTAGTTAATGAAGATATATTTTTTTTTAATATTGCATCTTGTAAAACCTAAACCTGGATCCTATGTGCTGGGAATAAGGGGTAGTGCTATGTAGATTTGTTCCTTTTAAATGGGGATCTAATCCAACCCCACAGTGAAGTGCCAGCTTCTTTACTTGTTAGCTTAGAGTTCAGTTCCTCAGCTAAAACTTTTGCTGCAGCACATTTTCTCCCTCATCATTCCCCCCACCCTGAACAGGTGCCTGCTTCCAATCACAGTCCTCTTGTATAAGACTCTTGCCAAACTTTACATTGCGGAGAGATGGTTGTTGTAGAAATGTGATTTTTGATGAACAGAAACAAATGAAGGTTTGTCAGAAGTTTTAACAGTATCCTTTTAACATGTTTTTAAAAACATTGGGTAAGTAAACAGCAACTTAAATGTGAAGCAGACCCTTGGGCAAAACAATGGGTGTTATTTTGCTCTCATTAAGTTGATTCATGATAACAAAAAAACAAGTCTTAGCAAGTGTTAATAGCAAATTAGATCACATAATAAATCACATCTCCAGTCTCACCCTACAGTGGGCTAAATAATCCAGTTTTTAATTACATTATAGGGACCTTGTCTATGCTAGCAACCTTTGCAGCCATAATGCATTACTAGTGCAGTCTGTCAGT